CGATCACAAAATAGGTGCCACGCCAGCCGAGGCCATTGTCTGCCATTACAACACTCATGGACGCTGCCGCGGTGCCTAAGTTTGAGGCCGCTTGAATCGTGGTCGTAGCAAGCACACGGCGCGTGCCGCTGCGCTCAATGCCGAAGACCAGGGAGTATGCTGGAGTCAGAAATATGCCGAACCCCGCGGCCTGGAAGACCGTGCCGACTGCAATCTGTGGCACGCCGCTTGCGAGCCCACAGCAGACGCACCCCCCAACTTGAAAGAGAAGTCCTGTACATGCCGTGCGCCCTTCTCCAAACAGCTTAGCACATGCCCCACTGACACCCATTGTGCTCACTGCAATGATAGTGTACGCATACACAATGTCCGCGTACTCATCCGCAGACAGGCCTGTTGCTCCACGCACGCTTTCAAAATTAGTGTAGTCCGCCGGTGCCATTGCATAAAGGCTCGATAGAACTGTATATGCCCACTGGCGAAAAAACGATGCGAAGAGAAGTGCCCCCCACAATATATAACCACCGGGTCGAACATCTAGTGGTGTTTCAGTTATATCTAACAGCGATTTTGCCCGCTCGGGCATCTCTGGAAACTCGTACTCCAATTGATCCCCGACACGCGTTCCATCATCATTGTAGCAACTTGGCTCATGGTTTGTCATGGGGGGTGGAGTGATGGAGCCTTAACAGGCGATCGGAAATCACGGGAGCAAGATCTCCTCGCGATTTTATTAATATAATTGCATTCATTCACGAGAGGGGTCGTAGCAAAAGAGTAAAGATCATAAATTTGACGGTCAAACTTTTTCAATGTTGCCCGCGGATCCACCCTCCTCGCATGAAACAATTGCACAGGCCTTCCAAAAAAGGGGCACTTTTTATTTTACAGCAGCTATTTCATGCCATACCCTCGTGTTTCAATTTAAGCAGTTGCAGACAATAGACGACTTCAGACAAACAATATATCCGAAACAAATGTATCATCCCGGGTTAACGAAACTCGCGCTCTTGGCATTCGATTGTCGACAGCCCGAGTTCCTGGAACTCAAACCGAAGTCAGCGAGTTGGACCCTTGCGCCCACCCTCGTGGGCTGCGCGCGGCCGTGGCCATATGTACGGTGGCATATTCCGGCGTTTCTTCGGCTTGGAAGCGCGACGGGCCGCCCGGGGGGCGGGCTGCTCGGCGCCGAGTCGTTCGTGATGGCGCGCCCAGGCCGCGCAGAGCCCCCACGCCGGTGCTCTGGGGCCGCGCGGCTCGTAGCTTTTATGACCGTGACTGCGGAGACCGGCAGCAAGCACGATCATGGCTTTGGGCAAAACCATGATCCAAACAAAATCATGAAAGACTATCTACAGACATATCTCCCTGAGAATTCCACACTGGGTCTTCACCTTGAAGGCCCTTGGCTCGTCCTCGTTCCCCATGCTCCCGCTCGCCCTCGTGGCCGGCTGGTCGAGCCCATGCCCACTTCCAGCTCCCGCTCGCGGATTTTCCCAGCGGTCGAGCCGCACCGTTTCCAACTCGGCTACAGCTCTCCCACTGCGGGGGAGCAGAGACCCCTAGGCTAGCCCCACTAGGGTAACACCCAGTGTGCCACCTCCTACGCGGTCGCGAAATTATACTGTGAATGGACGGTTTGAGCGGCCCAAGATTGAGCGGGCCGTATAAGGTTAACTGCGAGCCATCCAATCGTGAACGGTTGTCCCAAATTGTATCGGCGCCCCAAATTACAGCGGTGATTCCCTATGTGCGTTGGGGCTATTTGATAGACGGCGCTAACAGAATCTGATGGGCGCTTGCGGGTCATCCGAGAAGATCAGCGCTGTCGCCACACCGGAGCGAGTGGTCGCCACGAAGCCACCGTTGGCATCTGATGAACCTTTCGCAATAGAGTCACTCTCT